ACATCCGCCGGTGCGGTGCTCAGTTATATTTTATCCCCCGCTCCCATCCCTCCTTATTCTGTTAAATTCGAGGACCTCACCTCATTGCGTGCGTAGCATCTATTCCATTATGTCCGGCTCCTTAAATGGGTGATCATGACCCATCAGCTTGCCCATATAGCTCTTTTAGGCCTGTACTTTAGGCAATCGTCCCCATCACACCTGTTTTCCCGAGGATCTTTTCCTAATCGCCATGGATTTGTCTTTTCATACTTCACATGACAGGTAACTTTCATTTAACGCCAAAAATCATCGTAACCACATCATGTGCATTTCCCAACTCCCGGAGTTTCCTGAAGTGGCACCGTTGCCGGATTACTGGTAACGCTGCTCGGTAAACCCTTGTCACAACTTGGTACTGAGGGCAAAAAGCTGATGTCGCCAATCTGCGGTTGTTGTTGCAGATGTGTGGCCAAGAAAATTTGAATCGTATGAATTATCAGTTCCTATCTGGTTCGTTGAATTCATGTGCCTAACATCAGATCCTCGACTGGTGCGTGAATAGCTTCTGCTTGTTAAAGTCTTTAAGAAAGATGAGAAGGGGCCCAATTGATAAGAATATTCTCGAACTTCTGCTTCCCCTTCATCTCCTCCTTCCTTCTGCTCGATTTGGGCTAGAGCGATACGTCTCTTAATTATCCTTCCCATCTTGTATTCCTTCAACTCCCACTTCATCTCATCTTTTTTTTTTTTTGGGGTCCGCGAAGATGCCTTGTTTTTCTCTCTCATGTATCTTTTGCGGGATAACATTTTAAATTTCTTCTTTTGTTGTCCAAAAGTAAAGCTACCGGGTTGGGAATACTTTAGGAATTATGATGAAACCAATTCTGCGACAATGGCACCACCAATCATTGAGGGAGATAATGGGATGGACTGAGATCTGAGATACGAGTTTTTTTCCCTTTTTTGCCCTTCTCCGAACCAAATCTGAGGATTTGGATTTGCTGGGTGACACGGTAGGATCTCATCCATTCCGTTAATCCGACGGTTCAAATGCTCTGCCTTCAAGAAACCTCCCAAACCCCCTGCTTCGCCACATGCTTCACCACAGATATCAAGTCATTTTATTTATATTTTATTATTTCAATTGATTCATTTCTCATGAAAATTGATGTTGACTTTTGAAGATAATTTATTATTGTGATACAATAATTGTCAACAATATTATACTGTTTTTAGCCCTTAAAATAAGATGTAGTTAATAATTCAATTAAGTAGAAGCATTTTCGTGGGTCGTGGCATACCATTGGTTTTGTATTATTCTGTTGAATGCAACCCATCCATTTGTGGGATAAGGGAACGGGTTACGTGGATGAACTGGGGAGTTGATGCTTAAAGTGACTGATGTGGTTAGCGCTATGGTTCTATGCAAGAGTAAGTGGAGAGAGATCCTTGTGAAGGAAATCCCAGTGTGCCCGAACTTCAGTTGTGCCCACATTTTCCAAAAAGGCCCCACACAATAACGCATCACCTGCAATTCAATCAAATGATATCACATTATTACGGTGTAATCCATCATATAAAGTCCATGTACGCGGACGTGAAGATTGAGTATACGCACCTAATAGCAGGAACGTCTCAATTTGCAGTGTTGCTTTTCAGTGAATGCTCTCATTATTTGTGCTCGCGTCAGTGCGTGTGTGATGGGCGGGATAAGAAGGAGGCTCACAGTCCTAATTACTGCCCTTTGTCTTCGACATAATAGTTAATTAACTAATTTAAACATATTAAAAAATTTATTAAGTTAGTTATTCATAATAAATAGATGGTCTTTTTAAAAATATATTTGCTAATTATGTCTATTAACTAAAACTGATAAAATCTTTAACATGTAGTATAACTATTATAAGAATTAGTTTTAAAAAATAGATAAATATAGAGACAAAATAAATTAAAATCTATATTTAAAATCACACTAAAAATTCAACTAACTCTTTTATTAAACAATTAAATTCTAAAATAATTAGAACCGAAAAAAAAAAATACAGGCTTTTAAAGCTGGGAGGTAGATTAATAGCTCCAAAGGTCCCCAGAAATATTCCGCGAAAAGTTGGAATATGCTTTTACGGCTTTTTCTGAACCACATGCTTCGTCGGTCTGCATCCCACATGACCATAGTGTGGGTCCAAATTTTCACGTGATGTAAAAATTCTTTAAATAAATAAATATGATGGACACACTTTAATTGTCTAAAAATTGATTCACCTGAAATTTGGTTTCAACAAATAACTGATTCCCATGTATCCCATATTTTTCCTCTGATTTGATCAAAAATAAAAAATAAATAGAATTCTAATAAAAATTTGAGATTTTGAAATTCTACATTAATAAAATGAATTTAATTTAATTTAAAATCAAAACATCCAATTTTGAAATTGAAATTAATAATTCTATTTTAAAAATTGAGAGTCTACGCTCATAATCCTATACGTATTAATTTGTATATTCACTTTTTAATTATTTTTATTACATTCTTTTTATAAAATGTTGTCTATGATTATTACTCCCTCGGTCTCTTATATATATATATATATATATATATATATATAAAAGCTTCAAATAACCAAATTACATTTAATAAATTAGCAGTTAAAATTAATTAAAAATAATAAATAAGTCAAAAATATTTTTAAAACAAATTTGGCCTTATTTATTAAGACAGTAAATGAGAGAGGTAATAAATAAAAAAAATGATGCAAGAGAATATATGTGAGTGATATTAATAAGAGAGAGAGTACTAAATACAGTCCACGAAATGCATAATAAGAAAAATAATAATAAATACTTAGACAAATTCAAGAATAAAGTTTATATTTTAGACTAAACATCTCTTTAAAGTAAGCTTGTATATAGGACTGGAGGGAGTATATTTTAAACTTCTTTTTTTTCTTGTCATGGCATTTCATTCCATTTATATTATTCTTAGAAACTACGGACGTGTTTGGTCTGAATTATTGAGAACTATATATAAGAATTGTGATTGAGATTAAAAAAAAATTAAAAGAGTTTGATATGAGGAATTACTTGTTAATTAAGATTGAACAGACTTATATAAGTGAGATTGAAGAATAATTTCTTTTTAAGGTATTCTTCAATTCTACTTATATGAATTTGCTCAGTTACAAAGAGTAACTAATCACTCATTTTAAATACTCTTTTAAAAGGTTTTTTTAATTTCAATCCCAATTTTCATCCTTCTCTCTCTCAATGCTTTGTACAATGAGACGTCAATGTCAACCCCAAAAAAAGCACCTAAATGAGCATATTCTGATCCTATGCTAAAAATTTTTTAATTTCATTTTGTAGTTTTCCGAAATTCTGGTATCTTGGTGAAAATCATTATTCATCTCACATAAACATCCTCTTCAAAAATCTTTTCATTTTTGTGTGACCATACCATGCAAGCGCGTCGTTTCTGTACTATTCTAAGCTGATGATGCATGTTGATGCTCTGCGTTAGCTGTTGACCTTTTGTAATCTTTTGTGAATAATAATATTACTTTGTGAATTCAAACACAAAAATCTTTTTTCATTTTTCTATTGAAAATTTAGAAAATAAATTATGGTAACATTCAAGGCATTTCTTGAATGCTTTTCGGACCAACACACGTTAGCTGCTGCTCCGCCCGAATTTACGCTCTAATGTTATCATATTTCATTACACTACAAATAGATCTTATATTTATAACGGGAAGAATATAATTTAATTTCATCCAAACACTTGGTTCGTAACTTTTCCCCACATTGCCTAGACAATTGCACTACAAAATGAGTTTTATATTTAAAACCAGAATAGTACATTTGAAAATAATTTTACAGGATACGAAACAAGTATATGAAAAAAAATTTTATCTCAATTTATATAAAAGCATTTTTAAAAAATGCCTACGAGACACCCCAAAGAAATGAAGAATATTTGTACAGAATTTAAGACTAAATAAAACTACTCACCCATATAGAAGCTAAATAATCAATATGGAGATTAAAAATCTCCCTACGTATAATCTCCCAATCGATCTGTTTTGAATGTTGCTTTTGAAAAGAAAATCATTTTCCACTATAAAATATAGCCCCCTCACTCATTAGGCTTGCCGCTTAGGGACAGATTCCGACAGATATTAAGGTGCCCGCGAGGCCGAAGAGAACACCTCCAGCAAGAAAACCAGAGTCTCCTTCAATAATCAATTGCCAGCTACTGTCATAACGCAGCTAATCGGAATATAAACAAACATTACCCAAGCAATCAAGAAAATAAAACAAAATTCGAATCCCCAAATCAAAACCTTAATAGAAACAAAATTCAATCAACAGAACAATCTGCAGCATCTTAATCACAAAATGAATGCTATATTCACAAAACTATGAAGGACACAGAATGAGAGTTCTGCATGTGAGGATCATAAAGTACCAGAAGTCGTTTTCAGTAGAATAAATGAAAACGCCCGATTTCTTGTAATGTTTTCACAGGAGGTCTCTACTTCTTCTGTGGGAGGGAGTGGTTATGGGCAGAGGGCCGAAACCTATGGTAATCCAGGGCCTATCTTCCCAGACAGGTAGCTGCTTTTGACAGGTTAAGATGCCAGAAGAACAATCATCACCACGCACCAAATAATTGGAAACTCATAAACTACAAAAACTGTGATAATTGTTGGAAATATTCAGCCCATTTATTTGTATTTGCTTTACTTTCTTGTAAGCCCATTAGTGGCCCATTAGTTTAGGCTTAGTTGTTGTTAGTTTAGAGATGGAACGCTGCGCATCATGTATAAATATTGGGTTCAGTTTTGGCCCGTGTGTACAGTTTTTCTGATTATCAGTCAATAAAGAAATATTCAGTATAGTGCTGTGCGTTTAAGGGCCTGTGGAACACTCTGTCGTTCAACATGGTACCAGAGCAGGAAGGCGCCGTTGATTAGGGTTCACAAACGAGGCCGTTCACGTAACCCAATCTACTCCACACCAGAGATCTACACGACTGGTCACATGGGAGACGAGAAGGTCACAACCGACGGTATTTCTTTTTCACATCCTCTGTTCTTGCATCCGTCCGACACACAGGGGACGGCAATTATTCCCCACATACTGATCGGAATGGAGAATTATACTGTCTGGTCACGAGCAATGACCATCGCGCTCCTAGGCAAGCACAAAATAGGGTTCGTCGACGGCTCTTGCAAGAAAGCCGATCAAGAAGAACGCCTGCAACCCCTGTGGGAGAGGTGCAACGCGGTCGTGCTTTCGTGGCTGATTAATTCCATTTCCAAGGAATTAGCAAATGGAATTATCTACTTTCAAGACGCGCATGCCGTATGGATCGAGCTGAAGGAACGCTTCGACAAAAAGAGCGGCTCGCGCATCTTCGCACTTCATAGGGAAATTAGCTCCCTTCGACAAGGCACAAATCCGGTCACCGTGTATTTTTCGAAGTTGAAAGAACTTTGGGAAGAGCAGGCGGCTCTTGTTGCAATTCCTTCTTGTACGTGTTCAGCGGCCAAGGCATATTCAGATGCCATTCAAGAACAGAAACTGTTGCAGTTTCTGATGGGCCTAAACGAGAATTTCACACAGGCAAGGAGTCAGATATTGTTGATGTGTCCTCTTCCGTCTGTAAATGAGGCTTATGCAATGATCGTGAAAGACGAGACCCAACGATCTATCTTGTTTGCCGATAGAAATGTTCCCACCGAAGGATTGGCGATGACCGCTAGGGGTAGGGGACGCGGACGAGGAAGAGGCAGGGGAGATATCATGCTCGAATGCACCCACTGCCACAAAAAGGGGCATCTTCGGGATAATTGTTTCCAGTTAGTCGGATATCCCCAAATTTCAAAGGAAATAAGGGGAGGCAGCAAAGGGACTTTCAGCAAGGGGGAGCTGACAAAGAATCGGACCCTCAAGGTCATGCTGCAACCACAGTGGCGCCGACATTCACAAAAGAGCAATATGAAAAGATTCTGGAGTTGTTGAAGAAGGACATGGAGCCTACGGTACACCTTTAACTGGTACAGGTTTGATCAATCCTTTACCTAACATTCAATCCTATACACATTGGATTTTAGATTATGGTGCAACTACACATATGGCTGGAAAATTGGAATTATTCGATGAATATAAAAATTATGATGGACCGATTAAAGCAATTAGAATACCTAATGGGGATAGGTTATCTGTCACACATATTGGTTCAGTCACTATTGCTGACAGCGTTATTATTCATGATGTTCTTTATGCTCCTCGTCTAGAATTTAACCTGATATCTATATCTAGGTTTACAAAGGAACATAATTGTATGGCTGCCTTCTTTCCTGATCTCTGTGTACTGCAGGGCCTTCAGGATGGGAGGATGAAGATGATTGGTAAAGAATATAAGGGATTGTATGTACTAAAAGTGACAAATACCCCTATTTTAGCAAATGTTGTTCAGAATAGAGACATGAGAAAAGATTGTGATATCCAACTATGGCATAGAAGATTAGGACATGCCCCCATATCTGTGATGAAACATCTGGATCAAATATGTACTGAAAATTCCATTTTGAATAAAGTTTCCAATTCTTGTGAAATCTGTATTCAGTCCAAACAGACTAAATTCCCTTTTAATTCAAGTGTTATTAAATCTCAGAAAAGTTTTGATTTAATTCATGCAGATGTTTGGGGGCCCTATAGGAGCCCCACACATCAAGGCTTTCAATTTTTCTTAACCTTAGTGGATGACTTTTCCAGAGGTACTTGGATTTTTTTGATGAGACATAAAAATGAGGCAGAAATACATATCAGAAACTTTATTGCATATGTTTCAACCCAATTTTCTGTGAATGTGAAGAGGATTAGAAGTGATAATGGGACGGAGTTTACCAATAATCAGTTGAGGGTTTATTTTCAACAAAAGGGGATAGTTCATCAAACTTCATGCCCCTACACACCTGAACAGAACGGGGTGGTAGAAAGAAAGCATAGAACCATTATGCAAATCACCAGAAGTCTTATCTTGCAATCAGGAATACCCATTAGATACTGGGGAGAATGCATTAAAATGGCAACCCACTTGATAAATAGGATTCCTTCAAAGATAATAGATTACCAAACCCTTATGAGAGAATTTATGGAACAAAACCAGACTTGAGTGACTTGAAAACATTCGGATCTCTTGCTTATGCTACTAATTTGAAGTCCAACGATAAATTGCAGCCTAGATCCATTCCTAGTGTCTTCCTAGGATACCCAGATAATCAAAAAGGATATCTGCTCTTAGATTTAAAGAAAATACTATTTTTGTGAGTAGACATGTGCATTTCATTGAAGATAAGTTTCCTTTAAGGATGTAGAGACAATTTTAAAGAAGGATTAAGTAATGATATGAAGTCAATGTTCTGGTTTGAATCGGAATTTATTGAAAAACAAAGGCCTGAGGTAATTACAGAACCTGAATTAAATAATGATAGTACTGGTCCTGTAACAGATGAAGTAAATGTTGAAAGAGATAATGATCCTAATAGGAGTGGAAACCAAACAAATGTTGAAAATCAAAGGTCTGCACGTGCTAGAAGACCACCTATTTGGGCAAATGATTATATTTGTTCTTTACTGCAATATGACTCTGATTGCCTTATAAGGACTAATTGTAAATATCCTATTGATGATTATCTTTCATATGCGCATTGTCTGTTGATCATATGTGTTTCCTTTCTTCTATTGATTCAAATTGTGAGCCATCTTCTTATGAGGAGGCTGTCCAAAATAGGAACTGGGTAAAGGCCATGGAGGCTGAAATGAAAGCTCTAGAGAGTAATAGGACTTGGACAATAGTTCCCTTGCCTAAAGGTAAGAGGGCAATTGGTTGCAAGTGGGTATATAAAATCAAACATAAAGCAGATGGTAGTGTAGATAAATTTAAGGCTAGGTTAGTAGCCAAAGGATATAACCAAAAGGAAGGCATTGACTATCATGAAACCTTTTCTCCTGTTGTGAAAATGTTTACAGTTAGAGTCGTAATGAAATTGGCAGCTGTTAACAAATGGAACATTTATCAAATGGATGTTCATAATGCTTTTTTACAAGGTGATCTGAATGAGGAAGTTTATATGAAAATTCCTCAAGGATTTGAGAGAAAAGGGGAACAAATGGTTTGCAAATTGAACAAATCCCTTTATGGTTTAAAACAAGCCTCAAGACAATGGAACCAAAAATTATCTGAGGCACTACAGAAAGGAGGTTTTACACAAAGTAAATCAGATTATTCTCTTTTCATCAAGCGGGATACTAATGGTGTTGTTCTTATCTTAGTATATGTAGATGATTTGCTAATAACTGGGAGCACTGAAACTGGAATCATTGAGACTAAGGAGTTTCTGCATAGTCACTTTAAAATAAAGGACTTAGGATTAATAAAATACTTTCTTGGAATAGAAGTAGCTAAGTCTAGGAGAGGAATTGTTCTGTCACAAAGGAAATATGTATTGGATTTGTTGTTTGAAACTGGTATGACAGGTTGTAAGCCGCTGGGAGTTCCAATGGCTCAAAGCTTGAAACTGTTGGCCTATGATGAAAGAAAGAATCGTGAAGAAGACTTGCTGAAAGAACCCTGGAAATATAGGCGTCTGGTTGGTAAGTTAATCTATTTAACAATGACCCGGCCTGACATCTCTTATTCTGTGCAGACATTGAGTCAATTTATGCAAATGCCAACTAAAGCACACATGGCGGCAGCAAGAAGTGTTCTGCGCTACTTGAAGGGTACTCCTGGATTGGGAGTTTTCATTAGCTCAGAAGGAAAACTGGAGCTGGAATGCTTTTGTGATTCGGACTGGGCATCCTGTGCGATGACAAGGAGGTCTGTTTCTGGCTATTTGTTGAAGCTGGGAGGATCCCTTGTGATGTGGAAGACTAAAAAGCAGCACACTGTCTCAAAGTCCTCTGCAGAAGCTGAGTACAGAGCACTGAGTATGGCAACGTCTGAGGTGGTTTGGGCAGTTAGTTTGCTGAAAGATTTGGGTATAGTTTATGTGGATCCTGTGAGAATATATTGTGATAACAAGGCTGCGATTCATATTGCAGCCAACCCTTTTTTCATGAGCGTACAAAACATATAGAGATAGATTGCCATTTTGTTAGGGAAAATGGGAATCAAGGATGATTGATTTACAACATGTTAGAAGCAGGAACCAAGAGGCGGATCTGCTAATGAAACCTGTCGCAGGAAATGTACAGAAGCTTCTGTTGAGCAAGTTAGGAACTATAGATATTTTCAAGCCCCTAACTTGAGGGGGAGTGTTGGAAATATTCAGAATTTATTTGTATTTGCTTTACTTTCTTGTAAGCCCATTAGTGGCCCATTAGTTTAGGCTTAGTTGTTATTAGTTTAGAGATGGAACGCTGCGCATCATCTATAAATATTGGGTTCAGTTTTGGCCCGTGTGTACAGTTTTCTGATTATCAATCAATAAAGAAATATTCAGTATAGTGCTGTGCGTTTAAGGGCCTGTGGAACACTCTGTCGTTCAACAATAATAAATATGCGCGTCTCTATGTATATATACGCGCACACATTCTCGAAAGATCCTATAGTTACATATCAAGTGTAGAAATGTTATACACAAGTAGCATCCCTGTATTTCCTTCTGAGGCACCTCACTTTATAATCCAGAATAGTAAGCTAACAATACAAAGTCATCAATAAACACAGCAAAGAACTATCAACGTGGAGGTTCGATTATCTTTAGTATGACCACGGCCCTGGCTTCTGTTATCTGCTTACCGCATCTAAGAACATGGTCATTCAAAGTCTCAATACTCTCGGCAAAATGTTCCATCTGCTTCTTGATCTCATCGACTGCAAGCTGCACAGCGTCCTCATCCTTGAGGGCAAAATCAGCATTGTGCAACAATGACTCAATCTTTATTTCCAATCTGTTGACCAGGGATCGAATGCTATCCAAGTCCTGTAATGTGATATAGGTACGAAACTCCATTGAGCTGAGTACTCCTCTTTGGCTTCTCACGGCTTTCTCAAATCCCTGAAATAGTGAATTACACCATTTTCCTACTGAGCCTATTGGAACAGCCAATGCACCAGCCAAAGCTGTTACAATAGGTGGTGCAGCAATGGCAACAGCCACCACCGAGAAAATCAACACAGAAACGGATGCAGTTAAAAAAATGGCATTTGACACCCTCCTCCATGTCTTGAGGGATTTCAGTTTCTTATCAAGTGTCCTCTTTCTGGCTTGCAGTTTCTCCAACATTGATACCTGCTTAGCATAAACCGACTCAAACAATAAGTAAAACTCTTTCGTGAAGGGGTCTCCAGCGTCGGTAAATTTCTTCAGTTGCTGCAATGTCTCTACATATCTCACCCCTTCCACTCCATTTTCGACCTCTACCTCAAAATGGTTGAGCGCTGACTTAATTATTACCTGGTTATCACGTGCCTGGCTCAAGCACTCACGAAGTTTAATACAGAAATCCAATGTCAAGAGGCTATTTTCAAAAAATTCGTCAACCAAGGAGGAGAGGTCTTTGTTCTTTAATATATCATTCTTGCATGCCAGAAAGATTCTGGCTACTTCTTCGTGATTTTCTAACAGAGCAGCAGTCGCTTCTCTCAGAGAATCAATAGATAACGAGCGAACCTGAACCCCATTGGCAAGCGAGTTGATCACCCTGTTAGTTCGCTCTTGAATGGAGGCGTCGAAGGATTGTAAGTTCGGGTCGGCCACACATGCAGTTTCGTACGAGTTCAAGTCAGCCGCGAACTGGGAATCGGTACCCGTTCTGATAGCCAAAGGCACATCAGCCTCACTCGTCTTGCTGGACTGCCCTCCCATCATAACGAATTTTGGCGCGAATAGGGAGCTGCGAAGCACAAAAATATAACACTCAACTTCTAAGGCAGAACGAAATGCGTAAAATTAAAATTCGGATTCACTTCCTCCTCTCTCTTTCTCTCTCCCTCAAATTAACTAGTAATAGACTCGAATGTCAGCAAATGCCCCAAAAATGTGAACTTTTCAAGGACGGAGAGACTCGGATGTGCGAGAAGCTTGAGAAATAAGAAGGATAGACGATTTAACTTTGGCTAGATCTAAGGAACAGATCGGAAGGTAATCTTAATTGAAAGGTACAAGTGAAATCGCTATATTGTTTAAAATACCTGGAATTAAGAGGCAATTTCACTCCGCGAATTGAAGCAAAGCAGGGGTAACGAGGCCAAGTAGCTGCTAAGGTGGGAATCCGAGATGAACAGAAGTCCCCAGTTACGGAGAAATCTTGATAAGCTGGGACTTGGTGCTTAAAGAGAAGCAACTTATTTGGAAGCCAGTCTAAGGATGGGAGTCAGCGCGTCAAGCGTCAAGCGTCCGCGTTCCGTGCTCGGCGACCTTAGTTTTTTTTTTTTTTTAGTGCCCAAAACGCTGGCTTTTTTAGTGCCGAGCAGCGTGCGACCTTAGTTTTTTTTTTTGCTTTTACCCCTGCTTTTTTTTTTTACCTTCTTTATTTAAAAAAATGCATTAAAATTATTTTTGGTTTAACTTTTAGGGAGAATGACAAAAAAAACCTTGGGATTTTGTAAATACCAAATAAGAAATATTAACAAAAATCTGTTATAATTTGCAAATTCAAACTTGTCAATATCAAATAAAATTCTGTTACCAAATCTAATTTGGGATTTATAATTTGTAATTTCTTTTTCTGTCATTCTCCCTAATTTTTATCTAATACCCTAAAATATTTTTTTACATATATTTATTATCCTGAGATATTATATTTCATCTAGCAGGCTGAAATATTTTTTTAGATATGTCACACATCTTAAAGTGTTTTTTGATACAATTATCCATCATCTCAAATTATTTTTCAGGCAAGTTCAGCATTCTAGAAATAATTTTTTGTTTATCCATCATCTTGAAATACTTGTCAAATGTATTTGATATCTAAAAATATTTTGTGATTCATCCAACACTTTAAAATTATTTTTTTAGATACATCCACTATTTTTATTGAATACACGTGAAAAATATTTTAGAGTATTAGATGAAACTTAGTCCAAAAATAATTTCAATATATAGTAGTACTATCTCCGTTTCTTAATATAAGAGCTAGTTAACTAATGTGAGTATATTAAAAAAACTAATTAAATTAGTTATTTGTAATAAGTAGATATCATCTTTTCTAAGATATCCTTACTAATCAAGTGTATTAGTTAAAACTACTATTATTATAATAACTACCTTAAAAAATAAATAAATATGAAAGATAAAGTGAATTAGAATCTTATATTTAAAATTAAATAAGTCAAATAAATTTTTATATTAAAAATTAAAAGTAGTATATTTTTTTTCTTCTGATCAACAGGAAGGGAAAAAAGCGAAAAGAAAAAGAAAAAAGCCCCACACTGCTCCGCACTCAAAACGCTGAGCACGCCGTGGGACGCGTCAAAGAGGGGCTATGATAAAATTTTCCCCAATCAGAAAGTTGAGAACAGGGCTTCAGCGGGGCACCGGGACGGCAACCCGGGAAAGTTCGAGGGAAGAAGGATCCTCTCTCCGACTGGCCGATTGCTCCCAACGTCAAAGTTGGACCCATTGTCTCTTCTTCTTTTGTTTTTTGGGACCTGAGACCCATTGTCTGCGTCATGAAATTAGAAAGCATGCGATCACCCCATAAGATTAATAAAAAACTATTGAAAGGGGACGGAGTAACATGTTTTCTTTTCTTGAAATTAAACAAAACGCATGAAGAGGTCCGTCCGCAAAGAATACAACCCATTTTAATACCATACTTTAATGACTAGCCAGTGGCCAAATAAATCAAAGAGGGGTAAAATGTTCTTATCAAACTCCCATTGTTTTTGGGAGACTTTACGTTAAGCAGGTCAAAGGTTTTTTTTTTTTTTTAATGTAAACACACTTTTATGTCTTACTTCAAATATTGTGATCCTGTGCTAAAATTTTATTCATCTCACAGTAACTACCTCTTCAATTTTCTTTTCATTTTCATTAAGAAAATAAATTAGAGTTAAATTCAAAGCCTTTCTTAGATGGTTTTCAGACGAAATTGAAAAAAAAATCGTATGAGTAATTTCTTGTTAAATGAGATTAGACAATCCTATATAGATGTGTAATACTACCTCCCTTTATATGGCCGTGCAAGTTTATCCAATTTCAAATAACAAATAATCTTTCGCATTAAACACTTTTTTAACATATTTTCTCAAACCCAGATTATTTGCCAATCCGCCCCCAATTCATGCTCCATTGTTATCACCTCTCGCCATCTGGGCAGTGCGAGACCGAAAGAGTGTGAAGAAATGAAGAATAATCTAGAAGCTGAAAAATATTCTTTTTCTGATTTTAAATATAAAAGTTAGATTAACATTTATGAAAAATAGGTGTTGATTTTCTAAGACAAATCTTTATCATTTGCATTAAAAACTGGTCTTATTCATAAAACTTTCACATTAACTTTCATTTAATATGTGTGACCAGCAGATGCTTTGGGAAGCAAAATATAATTTCGGGAGATGTTGGATTGAGTAACAGTGTGTATATATATATATCAAATGACGAGGTACATCCTAGATCCAAGATAATACGATATTTTATGTTCATTGTCTGTAAGTGCTGTTTGGGCAATATATTAAGGGAAAAGTGTGTTCATAAACACCATTTTTATGGACCCACATCGAATCCTAACATCAGTAGCTAGCGCAAAAATGTTCCTCGAGGCATCCACAATCCCCTGAGAGTTCTTTTTTTCTAATGTTACTTTTGAGAAGAAAAGAATTATTTTTCACAATAATATAGCTCAACCATTAGGCTTCCCGCTTTGGGACGGACAGGTAGAAGGCCCTAAGAGGCCGAAGCAGAACATCCTCCAGCAGACGAAAACCAGGGTCTCCTTCAATAATCGGTTGCTAGCCATTGCCATCACTTAGCTAATCCGGATGCACATAACCATTATCCAAGCAACTGAGAAAATAAAACAAAATTCCAATCCCCAAATCAAAACCAACAAAACATGATTAATCAAATAATCTGTAGCAACTTGATCACAAAATGACTGCCAAACATATTCCCAAAACCACGAAGGATTCAAAGTGAGAGTTCAGCATGTGAGGACCAGATGGTAACCAGAATCTTTTTCAGCAGAATAAATGAGAACCCCCTAGAGATTCCTTGTGATGTTTTCAATACTTTTCATAGGCAGCCTCAACTTTCTCTGGGAGGGAGAGGCTATGGCCAGAGGGTCGAAACCTATAGTAAGTTTGAGTCTATCTGCCCACACAGGGAATTGAATACTTTTGACGGGTTAAGCTGCTAAAATAACCGGAAACTCTTAAAAGTACAAAAATTGTGATAATCAGTGTGCATAAATATGTATGTATATAAATATATATATCTTTAAGAGATCCATACACATCAAGCACAGAAATGTTATACACAAGTACCATCCCTGTATTTCTTTTGACGCACCCCAATGAATAATCCAGGTGTTTAATCAGCAAGTCTTAAATGGTCCAGAATAGTAAGCTAAAAATTAAAAGCCATCACTAGACACAGCAAAGAACTATCAACGTGGAGGTTTGATTATCTTATGTATAATCACTGTCCTAGCTTTCCTTATCTCCCGACTACATCTATCAGCATGCTCATTCAAAGTCTCAATACTCTCGGAAAAATGTTCCATCTGCTTCTTGATCTCATCGAGTGCAAGCTCCATAGCATCCTCATCCTTGAGAGCAAAATCAGCATTATGCAACATTGACCCAATCTTTATTTCCAATTTGTTGACCAGGGATCGAATGCTATCCAAGTCCTGTAATGTGATATAGGTACGAAACTCCATTGAGCTAAGCACTTCCCTTTGGCTTTTCACGGCTTTCTCATATCCCTGAAATAGTGAATTACACCATTTTCCTACTGAGCCTATTGGAACAGTCAATGCGCCAGCTAAAGCCGCTACTATAGGTGGTGCAACAACAACAGCTGCCACCACCGAGAAAATCAACACAGAAACAAATGCGGTCAAAAAAATGGCATTTGCCACCCTCCTCCATGCCTTGAGGGATTTCAGTTTCTTATCAAGCTTCCTCTTTCTGGCTTGCAGTTTCTCCAACATTGATACCTGCTTAGCATAAACCGACTCAAACAACAAGTAAAACTCTTGCGTGAAGGGGTCTCCAGCGTCGGTAAATTTCTTCAGTTGCTGCAACGTTTCTACATACCTCGCCCCTTCCACTCCATTTTCGCCCTCTACCGCAAAATGGTTGAGCGCTGACTTAATTATTACCTGGTTATCACGTGCCCGTCTCAAGCACTGATGAAGTTCATTACAGAAATCCAATGTCAAGAGGCTATTTTCAAAAAACTCGTCAACCAAGGAGGATAGGTCTTCGTTCTTCATTATATCGTTCTTGCATGCCAGAAAGATTCTGACCACTTCCTCGTGATTTTCTAGCAGAGTATCAGTCACTTCTCTCAGAGAATCAAGAGATAAGGAGCGAACCTGAACCCCATTGGCAAGTGAGTTGATCACCCTGTTAGTTCGCTCTTGAATGGAGGCGTCGAAGGATTGTAAGTTCGGGTCGGCCACACATGCAGTTTCGTACGACTTCAAGTCAGCTGCGAACTGGGAATTGGTACCCAATCTGACAGCCAAAGGCACATCAGCCTTACTCGTCTTGCTGGACTGCCCTCCCATCATAACGAATTTTGGTGCGAATAGGGAGCTGCGAAGCACAAAAAGATAACACCAAACTTCTAAGGTAGAACGGGACGCGTAATAAGTAAAATTCGGATTCAATTTCTCCTCTCTTTTCCTCAAATTAACTAAGAATAGACTCGAATTTCAGCAAATGCCCCCAAAAATATAATCTTTTCAAGGATGGGGCAACTCGGATCTGTGAGAAGCTGGAGAAATGAAAAGGACAGACGATTTAACTTTGGCTAGATCTAGGGAACCGATCCGAAGGTGATGTAAACTGAAACAGCCAAAATGAAAAGGTACAGGTGAAATCGCTATAAGGTTTAAAATACCTGGAATTAAGATGAGATTTCACAGCCGCGAATCGAAGTAAAACAGCGGTAGCGAGGCCAAGTAGCCACTTCGGTGGGAATCCGAGATGAAAGAAAATCCCCAATTACGGAGAAATCAAGATAATCGGGGACTTGATGCTTAAATCGAAGCAGCTGATTGGGAAGCCAATGCTAAGGAAGAGAGTCAAAGAGGGGGTAGTATAAAATCCCGATTGAGAATTGGTATTAAAGTGGAGAGTGGGGACAGCAAACTGGGAAAGTTCGAGGGAGGAAGAAGTTGGCCTGACAAGCAAGGGGGAAGGAAAAAACTAGGAGACAATGTTTAGTCGTTGACTGGCGGCTAAGCGCTCCCGCGTCAGCTTTTCTTTCTTTGTTTTTTACTTTTTTTTTTTCCCACTCTTCTCTGATTAACTCCATGGTCAAAGTTGGGCTCATTGTCCTTGCCATACTGATTTTTTTTTTTTTACCAGGTCCTTGCCATACTGGTAGAATTAGAAAGCATGCGATATATAATAAAAGGCTATGACATCACCCCGTAACACTAAATTAAAAAATATGATACTGATTCAGTCTTACATCTTACACCTGTGATGCCAGCCATGGGTTAAATTAAGACAATTGAAAGTTCTTCGAAATTGCTAACTCTATCCATTTCAACAAAATTTTTCATCACTTCTTTTTTAAGATTTTTCGGAGACTAACACCCATGTTGCTGTGGTCCTCCAAACTCAAAAGTCAAAGGCGACTCGGCCTTGGGCTTTTACTTTTGTTAAACGCAAGAAAAACGACAGAAAAGAATTTAGAGGACATTCTTCAGTATATTATGATTACTATTTAATAACATCTATTTATCAATTTAAAACTAGAACTTTGAAAAATTAATGTTTTTCCTTTCATCGTTTAAATTTTTGCACAAAACATATTCAACCATGATTTTTTTTAAAAATTTTAATCATATACTCATCCTTTCTCACTCTTGTTTTCGCCCTCGTTTCATCTTTATTTTTGAATTAAAAATTGAATAATGGTGATTTAATATCTTTATAAATATTATAAAACTGTATAAAATAAATAAATTTTTTAATTAAAAAACTATTGGCTAAATAAACATATGAAAAAATAATATTTTTGAAATACTCTTTCAATCCTAAATATAAGTTATTTTATAGTATAATTTATTTATAAAATAATTTTATATTTAGGATCAGAGAAGTATTAAATTTTAATGGTGATTTTTAACAGTAGGAATAAAGTAAAAAAAAACAAAGAAATGAGAAGAGTATCAAATCCACACCTTAGAATTTTCCAGAAGTCTAAATTCTAAGTATCTTCAGTTTTTCACTCATAAAAGAACATTTCCTAACCATAGCAATTTGTGCATAGATTGGGGGGTGTTTGGATAAAACCAAACCATAGTTTGGAAAATAACTTCTGAAAAATAAATTCTTGGACGATAGATTTTGTAAAAAATAGATTTTGTCAAAAAGTAATTAATAAAGTGAGAGTGTTTGAATAGCTATCATCAGAAGCACTTTTTACATGTGCTAATTACTACAAAAAGTATAAATTAATATGATAATCACACAAAAGATGATTTAATAATATATTTTAATTTGAATGAATAAAATTGTTAATAATATATTTTTTACCAACATAATTAATACACATAAGATAATATAATTAATAATTAATTAATATTTGTATATATATTTATAAAATATAAGATTAAATATGTTTATAAAAAAAATAATTAAGGGGTATTAAAGTTATATTACGTTGAGATCTGCTCTGACAGGTATAATCATACTCTTTAATTTAAACTAAAAGCAGAATGAATTTACTTTTTTTCAAACCATAATTTATCAATCCTACCCCCCGTTTGACAATCCAAACTATGGTTTGGGATGTTAGCCAGAGTCCCAAATAGGCTCCAAGGCAGCGCAAAATCGTTAGCGTGTTTTGGTTGGCTGACGAAGAGTTTAAAGTCAACAATTAATTACTACGTTCGCAAACAGACGCCAATGTCGTTGTAGTAGTGGTGAGTATTCCCGCCTGTCACGCGGGCGACCCGGGTTCGATCCCCGGCAACGGCGCTGTCTTTTTGCACTTCATCGTGTTGCGGCAATCTGCAAATTCTGGGGCATTCTCTCGCATTAGAATTGAAGAGGCAGAGATTGGGGCTTCTTCCGTTTTGATTACGCTTCCCCCTTTCCTTTTCTTCGCATATTAAATTGTTTCGCACTCTATTCCCACTGTCGGTTCTTCTGCGTTCTGCGTCTATTTCTTTATGCAATCCGGTTCCATCCTTCGATTTCATGCTCAGGGCCTGGGGGACTGGAATTCGTAGCGCTATTTCTTCTTTTATGTTGCTTCCTTGTCAAAACCACGTGTCATCCTGTGCGTGTCACCTCATCAAACGCAGATTCAGTAATTTGTCGTCATGTTATTGTGTTGTTCATTGAACAAGGGATCGTATCCCATTCTTGAATCTTCTCTTTCTAAAGATGATCTGATTAAAGAAAGCTGAATGTATTGCGTAACGAGAGTAAGATAAAGAATATATCTAAAACTATTGACAGCAAAATTCTGTATCCTGTTTTAGTACCCTGGAATGGTGTTTCCTACTGTCGAGGCTTCCGATCGATCAACTTTTTTAATCGATCAACTGGTTCATGCTAGAGAAGGGTGAAGTCAAGTGCATAAAGAAGCTTGCTTCAATTAGTTGTTAAGTTGAAGGACAGTTATTGCCAGTATACAGCAGGCAGTGTGCTTACCCTGCCTATCTCCTGGAATGATAATCTCTGATTTCCTTGATTTGCATTTTCAGATGCTCTTTTTAACTCCAGATAACTCCATGTATTTTATAAAGTGTATGTTGAGATAAGAATTGATTAGTTTTTTCCAGTGTAGGACTACGATTATACTGTTTAAGAGAATGCAGAAAGCGATGAAAAGGAGACAGCGCTACAAGAGAATGTAAGTGAGAACATCTGTTGAGAAGCAATCTGCTGGCCTGGACAGCTGCGTCTCCACAAAGGTTTTCCTCCCGTCTAGTTATTAGTTCGAATTTTTATTTCGTATCTCTTGTTTTACGGGAAAATCATCCGGCACAAAACAAAAATTAGATAAATGAACATTATCATCGTATCTCTTAAATTTTATGTTGCACACGTATCTTCTTGTACTTCTGGAAGTTTCATAACTACGCTGCAGTAAAATCTAGGATTTACGTTGGTAAGCATTCTACGGAGATGCGGGAGCCTTCAAGGTTCTGTCAACATTCTACTTTTAATCTGGCGTTCACCCTCTCCACATTCTGCTCTATTCACCAAAGCTCTTCAAATATATGAACTTGAAACATGATATCATAAAATTCATTGTGATAGGTTATCCAATGAAATTGTTATTTGGATATCTTCACAATTCAGTATTCCACTATGTTTTTTTCTGGGGAAGAAAGAAAAGAAAAAATTAGGGAACATAGTCATCCAACTTTAGCCCTAGCCCCAGAGTCTAATAATTTCTTTTGTTCGCATATGTTTTTCAAATTGCCAGGAGAAAAGCAGATCATTGAACAGGAGGAACAGGCCCTTGTTCACATGTTCAAATTTTGGGGGCAAAAACAGGTCATGAAAGAGAAGAAATAAACACAACCCCCCCCCCCCACAAAAAAAGAGGATATTTTGATGCGCTAAGAATCCATTAAATGGGTCTTTGGGTAAATCTTGTGAGCCTCACTATAAAGGAGCCATCAAATTGTCATCAACAAAAATTTATGAATCACAACAAATAAGACCAAGTGGAAGGAGGAAACACGGCTCACTAAAAGAAACAAACTCTTTCATGTCATCTCAGACTCTTTCGAAACGGTGAGCATTC